GGTTGCATTTTGCGCTTGCTCTGCCCTTTGTTTTAACTTATGTATCTGATTGCTGAGATGCAAGGGAGTGGAGAGACCAGGCACATAAAACTGAGGCTGCAGTGGGCAGTTTTGCATGCAGTGTCACAGGGATCCGGCTGCAGAAAGCAGATTTCACACAAAGATGAAAGCATTCCTAGAGACAGGGCACTGTCCGAATTGTACTTAACTCAGAAGTGAAGCTTTCCCTGAAGGACAGTAACAAACTGATTAAAAATAATTAAAAAGAAGCCCCATTAGGGAAGGTTGAAAGAACTGAATCTGCTCAGATTAGAAAAAGATTAAGGGAAGACAACAAATGCCTACAAATACTTAAACAGGATGTTACAAACTGCACAGGGATTAATTTTCCTCCTTAGTCAACAAGACAATAAGAAATAACGGACTGCAGCAGAAACTGATTACAAAATACCAAACGACTTAATTTGTAACGTTTGGATTTGCATCTGCTGCTGGAAGTTCCCAAGACTCAGGGGTCTTCAAAAATGGGCCTTGGTGCCTGCTCAAGGGAGTGAGCTGCTAATGCTGGCTGATCATATATTAAGGATAGTTTTGGGAATAGTAAATTCAATCTTTCTACAGTGCATAGGATAAATTATAATGTCACGTATCATAAGAGGTGCCTGTCTACTCAAATGATTCTATGAACTGACTGCATGTGAGACAAAGCCACTTGGCAGTTTAGACTGGGACAAAGTAAACCTTGTAAGAGTGAGGAAGTATAGGAGATGTGCTCCTATAAACACTTAATGCTTCCTTCAGTGAAGACCAATTCTTCAGTAAAGAGTCAACAAGGTTGTTTTGCACAGATTTTCATCCTGTCCAATATAGTTATTTTACATTAAAAATTTGGCTCCTTACAAGTAATTATCTTACCTGCCACTACAGCAGTGTCAAACTGTTTTCCCTAACATTTTTCTTTCACATTTCAAAAGAAGCCAATCTACTCACAAGTCTTATCTGCTGAGGGAGAGAGGAGATTGGAAAGTGTACTGATCTTATTGATGTCAAATACTTCTAGGGAATAAAAGTTTATTGCTTCCCTGTCTCTGATTATCTTTTTTTGTGAGGACGTGGATCACAAGCTGGGAAATAGCACTCCATGAGAGAGGAGACAGGCTTCAGTATAGAGGTGAAAAGCTGGAGGAGGCAGGAGGGGAAGCATGAAGAAGGAAGCAGGAGACTGAAGGTAAAATTTGAAGAGCTACTAAGTGGATTAGGAGTCCAGGGCTTGTGGAAAATCATACAGCTTTCTAACCTTTAAACATGCAGGTTTAACCTTGCAAAGTGTAGCACATGGCAGATGTAGGTTTCATGAAATTACCAGTATATTTTTCAGGGCAACATGCTGAAATGTGCTAGGGTCCCTCCATTCCCACTGAGAGGAATGTGGAGATCTAGGTACCTTTCAAAAGCTATTTTTCAGAAAATAGGAAGATATAATTGAAAAGCCCCTATAGAAAAGTTCAAACCAAGGGAACTGCTCCATTGTTTAAACATTTCCAGCCTCAGCCCTGAGCTTCATCTGTTGTTCTGCCGAGTTTTAAGTCAGGCTGTTATTTTCAGATTTAAGGAGGGAGCAAAGAAGACTCCCTACATCCACATGTATGTCCTTGGAAGACCATCACAGCAGACACGAAGGCCCTGATAAGGCATCTGTAAGTCTTCCTGTTGTACACATGACCGCATGTGGAAAATCCCAACAGCATGATCAAGATTTTACAAAACAGAAGGTGAGATCCTGACCTTTTGAATGTAATTGGCATTTTGCCATTGATCCCAGCAGGACCCCAGATTCAAACTTTGATATCTACTTTGAATTGCAGAGGAGCCAAGAACCTAACAGTTCATCTTGAACTTTGAATGCTCAGCACTTTTAATACTAACCCATTAGTTTACATCATTAAGTTTAAGGAATGACCTCTGAAAATCATCACCTAAAATTTGCAGCTGCAGAATTTTCTGATTGTCACACAACATTTTCTTATACTGTTCTTCAATCCATACTTTCCTTTCAGTGTAAAAAGGATAACCAACTCTATCGCAGGATGTAGTTGGAGAGAGGGGATCTTTAAGTCTGGATTTCTAATTTAATTAACTGTGCAGAATTATTTTCTAATAAAGCAAATATTAATTTCCGTGACGCCACTGTGGATCCAGGGGATCTTTTAAAGTGTTATCTACTTGAGAAGAGAGTAGCCTATGACAACTCCACTCTTCCTTGGCTGAAAAGACAAAGGCCAGGGAGTAGAGTTATATATGAGTCAGACTTCACAAAAGAATCAGTGGCTCACACGAAGTTTAAAATATGTTTATACCCTAACCCACTTACTAAAATTCTCCCTTCACTCTCAGAAATTGAAAAGTTGCGTCTTTGCTATTCTTTCCTAGCCAAAAGTACTCTTACTTTTGATCTCGGTAGCTTAGGCTGGAATGCCCTTTGCATGGACTATAAAGCTTACTGTATAAACCGCAATAGATACGGTTTGAAACATCCACATATGAAACTACAGTGTGAATGTTTAGAGATGGTTTCTACACATAAATATTAAAGTCACAATGCTTCTCCATAGGTGTGCCTTGTAGTAATTGCCCAATCAACATCTGCCCTGAAAGTAGCACAGATCTCTCTGCAGAAGGAAATACCCATCACATCTCGGATACCTTCCCTACCGCATGGCAAACACTGATCAGTGCTGACTGCTTTTTACTTCATCAATACAGCACAAAGAGGCAAAAAGTCATAAGGGACAATAGGACTCTCAGGATTGTTTATGGCAGCTTAACTGTTTATGTCTGTTAGCTCAGGTGTTCAACTTTGTATTTCATGGTCTTTCAAAATAGGTGATATGGTTTTTCCTTCACAAGCTAAATTTCTTCCTCCTCAATTACTGAAATGTTATCTGCAGTGCTAGCTCTAGCTTTTGTAGTCTTGCCTAGGAATAACTGGGAACTGACGATAACAAATATTTCTTTTGTTCCCAAAGCAAGTACTCTATCAAAACCATAGGCTAAAAGTCTAACTATACAGATGCTGCTAAACATAATGACCATCAATCTGTATTAATTTCAGGTTTCAGTTCACCATAGTGTCTCTAAAGGAAAAAGAACAGCTCAGGAAAGCAGTGAAAAAAGCTGGCTAAGTACCAAACAAAAGCCAACAGCTAAAATCCAGGTTGCTGCAGGGCTGCCATAAAAAAGTCAGACCATCTGCAGCAGTCATGGTAAAAAATCATTTAGCAGTGAGTATATGCTTTTGGCTCCGTTATTAGATAACTGATAGCTGAGTTCTGAATGATTCACATCCAGTCATGCAAATGACGCATGGACCCAAAAGTGCGGGGATTGGCAGGGTCTTTTCTAACATGTGCCTTTGGAGAAAACGGTGATAACTTGTGGATAGGTTTCACAATACTAAATAGTGTACACTGCCAAAGCTATTTTCATGTTTATTTCTGATATCTTTTACCTTCTTCTGTTTCCCCTGAACTACCGATAAATCCTCTCAATCACCCAAAGACTGGAGGAATGCGAGCTAAATGTGATAAAAAGACAGGTATATTATAAATAGCAATAGTTGAGCAGTGTAGTAGTTTTGCGCAGTTCCTTTTCTGACTTAACTTCTGTTCTTCATGATTTTATTAATCTATACTTCCTTTTCTGACTTAACTTCTGTTCTTCTTCATGATTTTATTAATCTATACCGTCTTTTCAAGTAAAGGCAATTTTTGTGCTCTGAGACCCAGACTCCCCCTGTGGTTTGATCTGTGCCCTTTATCTCAAGCATTAGGAGGAAGCTAGAGTCACAATTCTAATCTAAATTTACAAGGATAAAGAGACAACTACTAGCTGTTCCACATAGAGAATATCCATGGCAGATAAGTTAAATCTTCAAAGGGAAATCTCGTGAACTCTAACTCACTGATGGGTAGAATGCAGCTTCAGGCTCACGTTTAAGAGAGAAGCTGATGTTGATTAACAATACAAGCTGCTTCAGTCCAGATTATCCTTTTGTGTGCTTTGGGTTGTCTTGAGTTAAATTCCATTGTGCATTGTAGCACAAGTTTTATTTACAGTGGAAATCCTTCCATCTTGGAAAACCAGGTGTCAAAGGTGTTATATATGTCAGTCTTCAAGGTCATAGTTCGGGTTAGCCTTATACAGACAGGATTGAGCTGTGTCTGAATTACATTCCTGGACCATGACATATTCCTGCAAAACTTGACGGCAAGAGCTGGTTTACAGGTGAAGGCTAAATCTGATTTTAACTCCTATAGTATAATTGTATTGCCACTGAATTTCCCAACACATTAGGAATTACAAGGTAGAAACTAAAGCTATTGAAACTTCCAGAATTATGGTAAAGGACAAGATGAAACTGCATTTAGATTAAAGATAATATCATGTTTTGGCTAAATTTGTAACCATGATTGATATCAGTATCAGAATTGGGAGATTTTATTCTAATACTATTACGATAAAAGTCATAACTAGGAGTAGTGCTGGCATGAAAAGGGATTTGTGAGGCATTACTTATAAAACCTACGAGCTGATCAGCATAGCGCCTTTGTAACATTAATGCCATGGGTAGAGCACACAGTTATCTGTCACAAATACTTCTACATCAGTAATCTGGAGATGTATGAGATATTTCACTCCTGCAGAGAGGGTCTTTACATGACATTCTGCTCAGCAAAGGTACATTGCAAATCTTCAAACCAATAAGCCGCATGCCATCTTTCAACATTAAAATATCAACGGAAAGTCAACACTTACATTTGATTTAATTGGACCAGATAAACCCCCCTGTTTTACCCGCTACTATTCTGAGTTAATTAAAGCTCCATGCTAGCAACCGTGCTTTCATTATACAGAACAAGCAAGAAAGCTAAAGCCCCAAAGTTTCAACATAGCTGGAGCACATGAGCAGGCCTTTCAGCTTATCATTTTCGGATACGTACCCAGTACAGTACATCTGTCCAGCCCTCCATTGTGATGCACTGAAACACCGTCAGCATGGCAAAAGCAAAATTGTCAAAGTTCGTAATGCCGTGCTTCGGTCCCTCCCAGCCTGCCTTGCACTCGGTGCCGTTCTGACACTGCCGCCCATGCGCGGACTGGGGGGCACAGGGAGACGGATCATCTTCTGCAGGTGTATCTTAAAGGAGAGGAGGGAGAAAACAGAGATGAAGAGAACTAATTGCTATTTGACACACTGATAAGTGAGTGAAGGATACCCGATTTTAACAAATACATTTTGCAGTGAATTTGACAGCTTTCTCTAGGAATACACAAGAAACTGTATTAATTTTAATGGGCAGAGGGATGTTTTGTTGTGCTTCATTTTCTTTTTGTAAAAATAACGGCCAAGCCGTCAAATTTTACAGTCAAAACTGAAATGTCTTTCAACATGAGAGGGAACACTGGATCAAGTCCATTATATTTCTTTAGGCTGCATGTTACAACCATACAGCGTTTTCGTACTGCAGTCACCTGGCATCTGGGTTAACCGTGGAAGGGAACTGCAGCACTGAGTGGCACTCCGTTGAAGGAGGCTGAACCCCTGCAGCAGACAGGTTTCAGTGCTCTGGAGATACTGGGCTACTGCTAAGTTACAGCAGAGAGTCTCTGGATCTCTGCTCTTTCGGAGTTTAGAAACTGTGTGGCATTTTATCTACAGCCCAGTGGCACTGAGAAGCTCCATAAGGCGCTACTGCTTGATTATCCACCCCTTATTCTGTACAGGTGTTTCCAAAGATCGGAGAACCCATACAACAAACCTGCCTAGATGCTTTGGTATATGCAAAATGCTACAGAAAACACTTTTATAAGCACAAAAATTCCTGCAACAGGATTTTGTTAATATATGAATTTCAGAGCCTATTTATAACAGATGCAGGTATGCATGTTTGTGGGAGCAGGTAATTATCTTTGTTTCTTATCTTATATGGCAAAAACCCTAATTTTCCAGAAGTTCTGATCACATTCTGATCATTAAAGCATGCCAGAAATAACAATATTAGAATCAGATGCTGTAATATATAATAATTACAGACAGTATGGAGAAAAATATATACACTTTAAAGATGTAAACCAGACTGATAATTCATTACAGTTCTAGCATCATTTACAGAAAATGAAAGCAGACAATGTTATAAAGGCGGAAAATATAAAACTTCCAAAACGATTTCCTGCTTTACAATATTTTCTTGGTTATGAGCTGAACTGGGTCCTAGACACTGGCACCCACCACCACATGGGGAATCACTGCAGTTCAAGTTGAATAAATCAAATGAAAAAGAGCAGCTGGTTAGATGTGTGAGTGACAATACAATTGAATTATTTTGAAATTTGAATATTTCTTTCTGTAAATAATTTGAAAGTTCCTTCCTGATGGATTTGGTGCAAAAAGTTTCTTCCCATTAATATAATTTTGCTTTTTTATTTCTTATTAGCTGCACTTCTAACCACAGTTACAGCCTGTGATTTTAAAAAAAAAAAAAAAAAAAGAAAAAAAGGGTACCGGGCCTCAATTAGATATTCCTGTACAATGACTCCAGTTTAAAATGAAGATGTATTTGTGTACAACATTAATAATAAAATATGAAAGTCGTTCATTTCCGTGATGCCATCTCATCTGCAGCTCAGTCTGCTAGTGGTGAAATCATCACTATGTTAGTGCTGCTTGAGCCTCTGGGAGATTAGCTGAAGAACTTAGGCTGGCTTGTAGTCCACATGTAGGTCCACGTTTAAAAGTCCACTTTTTTTTTAGCATTTACAGACAGGAAAACAACTGTGTGCCCAAGATAAGCAAGTCTCACTATTAGAGGCAGTCTCTCTACATCAAAAGTGATTCATAACCAAGAAGCAGAACAGAGGAACCACCACTGTGAAACCCCAGACAGGTACACAGCAGGGAACAACAGCCACCTGTCTCCTGTGCCAGCACAAATGCTCCATTGTATAAGGGGAAAGCCTCCCTCAGAAAATCTTTGTATGTATGATATAGCGTTCCCCTTACCTATCAGTCCCCCTTGCACATGGTAGCAGGTCTTATGCATCTTCCCCATGAATAACTCCAGTCCAATGATGGCATAGATAATAATGACAAACAGCACCAGCAGGGCAATATGCAACAAAGGGACCATGGCCTTGATAATTGAATTTAAAACCACCTGGAGACCTGCAGAGAGAACAGAAGGAAGCACTTATCAGCAGGAGAACAAAATTTAAAGAGGTTATAAATTGCACAGTAATATGTCATTTTTATTTCATTCCCCCTCACCTGAGCTCATTATCTTGATGATGTAAAGATGTACATGTATGGATCACCTTGCTTCAGAAGATCCCTAATATTTCACAAACTTACCATCACAGCCTGGATCACAGACTAAAGTAAACAGGTATTACCTTACCTGTCACTCAAATACCACCACCCTGGGGATGGAACACATTAGCTATTTTGCTTGTTCTTGAAAATCAGACCTAAGCTGATCCCCAGACAGTATTCAGGAGAGTTAAAGCACTGGACAAACAAAGAAGAACCAGAACTGAAGCAGGACAAGAAGAACAGTAAGACATGCAAGAGAGCACATGCTGGGGTACCCCAGGGACGCACGCCAGAGCATGGGGAGATATGGCAAACTGAAGTCGTATTCCTACTCCAATTCTGGGTCCTTCCAGAGGTCAAGCCAGTCTCAGGCAGAGCCTAAGCTGCTGAAGGATCGCCCAACTCATACTGACTGAGAGCTCCTGGCCCTCTTAGGATCTCCCTATACTCCAGATCCACCTCACTTTACTTCAGTCTGAACAGAGGGAGAGTCAGAACCAGCAGTGCTGATTTTGCCCCAAGATGTAGGGATCACTCTATAGCAGAGGTTGTCAAGGTCCCCAGAAAGTGGTATGAACAAAATATTATTACACAGCTGTTAAGACATGAGGCTGGTGTAAGTCCTAATCACAAGTGAGCCAAACGTTTGCAGAATGGCCCAGGGAAGGTGACTTGCAGCTGAGTTTGCTCAAGCACTAAGCAGCTGTACACTCGGATGCAGTTGACTCGAGTTGCAGATTCATGGGCCTCTCTCTGTCTCCTTCTCGACATTTGTAAAACCAGAATAGCGAAGACAGCCTCGTAAGCCTTTAGTAAGGACTTGCATTTACAAAGATCTTAAAGTTATTATCAATGGTGGCAGTGATGGTGACCACTATCACTGGCAAGTTATTAATGCTGGGAGTATTGAGAGACCTCTAGAACTCTACAGTCTACAAATAGCCAGATCAGAACAATTATGAGCTCATGAGGTTGCAATGACTGAGAGCCAGAAGCCATTAATGTCTCCTGCAAATTCTGTCGTCTCCTCAGAGAAGTTGGTATTAGCTGTGATTTTTGAAAAAATATGATTCATGAGTTGTAAATGTCTGTTATATATCTGCCAAGAGAGTCTGTGATAACGATTAACTTTTAAAATCTATCATCTAAGATCTTAGAGTTTCATTTTTATTACTTTTTTTTTTTACTAATTTAAATACTTTCTAATAAGGATGACACATCTCTTGACAAGCATTTTCACTCATAGGCAATCCACTTGTCAATTCACAGCTAAGGCTTTGTGTTTGCTCCCCAGCCATGATGGAACACAGCAGAAGCAATCAAAGGTGGCATCAGCTGCCAGGTCAGCAAGATCATTCACTGCCTGCTAGTAATCTAAAGCTGGCTACTAGCATCCCTTTAGTCAGAACATTTTTTCAGTCTGCAGTCAGTTCAATTATCTGTTAATGGTTCATGTTACTATCCAGAGGGAGTGATATTCAGCATGAAACATTCTGGCTTTAACAAAGAGATCCTTACATGAAGTACAATACTGACAGGATCAAAACTCATCCTATACAAGGCTGGCATGTTCTGCTCACTCAGTTACCTCTAGGTACTTTCTCTGGATAAGCAATGTCTCTGGGGAAAAAAATATTGCTGTGATTACATGAGGCAGTCAATCTTTTCCCCTAGACATTCACCTCATTCAGTCTACTAATTCTAAATATATACAGAAAATAAATTGAAGTCCACATCAACATCATTCCAATACTTTACAGCAGTCAGTAACGTACATTCACCAGAGTCTCACCTTCTCCCAAACAATGTACAACAAGACAAGAAAGTTAAAAGACTACAGATGGTTATGAACCTGAAAACAAACCCACAAACTTCTCAGACTGAAATATTTGTAGCTTCAAATAAATCTACACTAAAGCAAATAAAGGCCTCCATTTTTAGTGATTTTGGGAGCTTTGTTAATCCAAAATGTAGCCAAGATTACAAGGTCAAGAGATCTAATACGAGGTCTTATGTAATTTACCTTCAATTTTTATTATTAATTAATTTAATATTCATCATAGGATATACCAGTGCTCTTGAGAGGGTACTGAGGACAAACACAATGACGAACAAAAAGCTCTCTCATTTTAAATGTAGCTTCATTATCACCCACACCATGAAAGTGCTTCAGTGTACTACAGATGTCCAGAGAAGATAATATCTGCTCGAACCAATGCCCTTGGTGTTAACAAAGTGGTGCTTGCACCATAAACATGAGGTGACAAAGTGTTTAGACAGTCAAGACGAACACGCACCACCAGAAGATTCACAGGAGCTTCAGCTAGCTTAGTTAGAGAAAAGTTTCTTGAGGATAATAAACCAACTTTGAAGAAAAGATGAGCTACTGAATACTGTTAGCATGAATTGATGTGTGCTGTTCAGTACCCCGTTAGGGCAGTCTGGTTTTAAATCCAGATGACTCCACTAATTAGCAAGCTTACGTACATTACCATTAAAGTATTCAGAGAGTTTCTAGAAATTTAAAACCGCTAACTATGCAGCAACTTTAAAAAAGTCCTCTCGGAAGATGCAACAAATGCTGCTTGTAGAAGGGCCAGGGATGTACGCCCATCGCCAAGCTCCCTGCATTGTTATCAAGCTTATTGCTGCAATACAGTTGCTACCAGTAAGTTACTTCATTCTCAGTTCAGGCAGCCCCTTGCGACTTGAAGAGCTGTTGCAAGGAATGGCATGAGGAACCAGGCCTGGACAAACAGAAAAGTTGGTGTAGTAGCAAGGGGGGAGAACAGGGAGAGCAGATAAAAAGGATTAAAGGATTGGGGAGAACCATGGGTAAGTAGAACACACAGAGACACTTTTTAAATAAAAACCACATGCTTCAAAACACATCGGAGATCTGTGTTCTGAAATCTGAGAGGTGCAGCTCAGTGTCTGTGGATGATCAGATTCATTTCTGTTCAGGGTAAATCAAGGTGAATCATCCCCTTACATACAGACACAAAGCTTTTTCTAACCAATGGTGAGAACTTCTATGCATTTTTACATGCTCTTGCCCCTGTGCAGAGGAAGAAAAGACAGTTGAAGCTATAAAAAAAATGACTTCTCTGACATCCCTCATGAATGCTCTTAATCTTTGTACACTGTAACACATAGATATCACACAACATGGGTGCTCACAACACAGGGGCAATACAGTTCCCACTTGCCCGATGCTCCCTCTAATACACCGTTGCACATCTTTGGCATTTTCTCCCTTGTGGAGGTAAGGCTTGCACTCCTAGCAATGAGCTGTACAGCTCATAATCATAATTAAATTAGAATGCCTGGTGACCTGATCAGACTGAAAAGCTGGCCTCTGGATTTCAAGTAGGTGATGTCAATAACTGCTTTCCCACTGTAGAAAGAAACGCCTCTGGATTTCAAGTAGGTGATGTCAAAGAAAACTATGTTTTTACAATGCTTTAACATGGGCTGGCAATGCCATCATTGGCCAACTATAAACGCAGAGCCCTGAACTTATGTCCTGGCAAGTAAATAGAAAAATAAATGGTTTTCAAACATTTGGCATTCTAAATGTACTTATTCAGTTGTGGAAGCTCTCTCTATGTGCTAGACACTCTCCAAACATCTGTGAAGGCATAGCATCTGCCTTGAGGAACTTACTCCAGGCTGGACAAAGAGATAACTGCACAGACGTTAGGGAAAGTGCCACAAAAGGGACTGTTTGCAGTTTTTCAGCCCGCGCTTTTCTTCTGTTAATAATTGAAGATCTTAAACAGCTCTTAGTATTTATTTTAAAAGCACTTCAGTTTACCTTAAAAAAAACCCCACCTCTTGGCTGCATTCTGTTGGCTGACATTGACTCCATAAATGTTTCAGTAAGCAAAACACGTTAATGCCATTCCCCAGGCTCACAGAATTTAGCATTTATTTACACCGATCAAACATTTTAAGTATTTATTACATGTGAACAACATTGCTTTTTATACCAGGTGAAGCCCTTTCCAGTCTCTAAAGGACTGCATGAAACCAAAGGTTTAGGGCACAACTGGAGAGTAGAGGGAATGGGGGAGAAGAAAAAGAGCTTATAGCAAGAAACATTGATCTTTCCCAAAGCTATGGGAAATACACTGTTAGGGATGCTGCAGGTGTTTGACAGCTATTATATTATGCTGTATTTTCCTCTCCGGAAAGACAATCATGAGAGGGGCTGGTTGCTGTCTCATCAATTCAGGCAGTTATTGAAGAAAGTGCTTATCTCTAAGCATGTAAGTGTCCGTACCTAAAGCAATGGGATTACCTACATAACCCATTGTGTACTTACAAGCTTTTTTGGATTTTGACCAATGCTCAGCAAGATGACACAAAAAAAACCCCCCTGCGCACTGGACCCAGCTGCTAAAATGCACTTGGCATTGTTGCGCTGTGGAACAAGTCCAAGGAAACTAATGGTAGGTTGGTCTTAGAAAAAACATTTGGGCCTTTCCAAGCACAGCTCTATCTCACATTTTCACGTGTCTTCAATTTTGGATCAAACTTGATTTGCTGGACAGGGTAGCTTCCTGTTCTAATCATATTAGTAGTCCAGATCTTCAGAGAAAGCGTATCCTGGGTCTACTCTGTCATTGGTTTTGCAGAGCTATATTTTGCCTTCACCATTGTACTGCCTGAACCAGGAGTGTGAGCAGGCAGAGCTTCATACAGTGACCTTCCGGGAACAAGCAGGAACAAGAGGGAAAGGAGAGGACTTTCAACTCCATCCATACCTCACCCGCCTCCTGATACATACACACACACTCACACAGAGTGTTTTGTACTTAAATCAGTGCCAAGGACGTGGGAGGCAATTA